ACTCACTGTGTAGTTAAAAATGACCTTAAGCTTTGTGTGTGTGTGTGTGTGTGTGTGTGTGTGTGTGTGTGTGTGTTGTAGTCTTGAACTTTGTGTGTGTGTAGGGTAGTCTTGAACTTTGTGTGTGTAGTGTAGTCTTGAACTTGTGTGTGTGTGTGTGTGTGTGTGTGTGTGTGTGTGTGTGTGTGTGTATGTGTGTAGTGTAGTCTTGAACTTGTGTGTGTGTGTGTGTGTAGTGTAGTCTTGAACTTGTGTGTGTGTGTGTGTGTGTGTGTGTGTGTGTGTGTGTGTGGTACCACAAGCACATGGGGTAGTCAGAGGACAACGTGGGGGTCATCTGGGTTCTCCCGTGTGCCTCAGAATTGAATGCAGGCATCAGATTCCTGCTTCTGCCTGCTGCACCGTCTCCCCAGCGCTGCTGGTGGTTGTTGTTGTTGTTGCTGTTTGCTCTGAGATAGGATCTTCCGTAGCCAGGTACTACGTGGCTAACTACGACCTTGAACTTCTGCCCCTCCTGCCCTCCTTCCCAAGTCCATCACTGTGCCCAGTTGTGTAGTGCTCAGGACCCAACCCACAGCTTCCTGTGTGTCAGGGACGCATGTGACCCCGAGTCACATCACCAGTCCTGTGCGAGACAGTTGTCATTTGTGATTGCTTCATTCCCGTTTCCATAATGTGTTAATCCTTAGCGAGGCTTTCGGCTCGTTACGAGGTTATTCTTGGCACAGTTATTTAGAGACTTTGGAAGGATAATAAATTATGAGCTAACATGAAATACTGAGCTTTCAATTTAAGATCTGGGGGAAGACAGCTTTAACGTTTTTTCTTGTTTGAGATTTTTTACTTAAGTGACTGGTAAAACAGAAACTAGAGGTGAAGAACACTCTCTTCCTCTCTTGGATCAATAGTCATCTGAACTGTTGACTGTCTCTTTTCTCCACTGCAGACTCAGTCCCCCTGTTATTCCACTGTGCTCCCTAAAAGAAATACAATTGTCTATGGACAAGTTTTTCAGAGTGGAACCATCCGATGTTACCAATGGTTGCTTCCTTTCTATTTTAACAAGAGAGGTAAGAAGGAAGAAAAATCCGAATCCATGACATACCTTGCAATTGAAAACCACACACTCTCATCATTGGAACCCACTTCATGACCATGTTGCCATGGTTGCTAAGATCATCACTGTGCAGCATTCAGTCTCTGCTCTCCATGCTTCTCCTCAGCATTCCTCTTTGACTCATCCACTCCTACCTCTCCAGCAGTTTGCCAACTGTCTAGTGTATCTTCCTTAACATATAAGAAATAAGCAATGTAATTTGTATGAGGTTTGTAAATGGGGAAGTTGAACTGAGAAAAAAAGTTATTTGCTGGGGCTTATGAGTTATGTTAGGGACTAAGGCCTAAAAACCATTTCCTTTAGTATGTTTTAATTTTCACAAAATCACAGACAAATATTTAAGATTTGCACACTGATGGTGGCCTCTCACATTAAGAGCTACGGCTTTCATTGCAGCGAGATCCCTCCGAGACAGTGTCTGTGAAGGATGTTCTGGCCCGAGCTGCAGCCAAAGGTCTACTGGATGGGGTTGACGTTGGGAAGTCATTGAAACGGGAGAAGAGGAGGAAGAAATCCAAAACATCACTGCCCAAAGCTTCTGCTAATGATAACAATGGCGTCCAAATGAAAATCACCGAGTTCCTGAATCGAGAAGGTAAACTGAGTACTTTTCGAGGCGAGGTATTAACAGTAAAAACACCTCTCCCACCAAAAACTGTGTCTCAAGTGGGCACTTCCTCCCAGGTTAGAAAACCCGGCAGGCCTGCCACCAACAATACTTTAGTGACCACACTGATGAAGACCACTTGTCCTCCCAGGCCAGAAGAACGGCCAACGAACTTGAGACGAACTCGGCCAGAAGGCAGAGTGATTCCTCTGAAATCCGTGGAGATTGCATTGCCTCCAGTGATGTTCCCAATCTCGAGTCCCCAGGGGGTCAGAGCTCAGATCCCAGCAAACAATTTTTACTATCGCTTGGTTGGATCAAAGACTGCTATGCCTGGCTATGTTCCACCATCACCACCCAGAAGAGGGGAGAAGTCTAAGGAAAGCACACCTTCCTCCTTTCTCAAACACCCTAAACCATGGCTTTGACCGTGCGGCCCTTCTACTTCCAGGGTGGCTGGGAGTTCTTTACATTTAGACACTGTTACACAAGATACTGGGGCCTTGGGTAACTTAGTATCTTATAGTGCAATTTTACCGCCAGAGAATGAAGCCAGATAAGAACTACTAATGGAGGGGATTGAGTGAGCGAACGGAGGTCTCATCAGCTCAGTGCTAATCTGTTTTAGGATGCCCAGTTTCAGGCTGGATCAGCTGGTAGAACTTGGCTCACTCCAGGGAGTCTGAAGTGCAGACCAAGCAGCTGTCTTACTTGAAGGGAGCTGAGGATACCTCCTGGCAGGCTGCTCTGCAGATTTCCTTGAGGGGCTTGGGAGATACAAAGAATGCTGTCCCCTCCTGCCCGTTCCAGCTCCAGCCAGGAACCTGAACCCACTCCTTAGCCAGGCAGTTACTGTGTGTAGTTGAAGCTTCTTGAATCCCAATTGAGGCCAGCTTTTTCCTTTAGCATCCCACTGTTCCTGAAGCAGTGCATGCCAGGAGGTTCTGTAATGGACTGAGCTTTTGGAGGAGGAGGACAGGAAATGTCTAGTGCCGGGTGTGCAGGCCAGCCGTCCATACAAAAAGAGGTTTCTGGAGAATTTCCAGAATCCCTCCTTCTGTTTATGCCAAACATTGTTGGAAAAAGGACAGCGAGCAAATTTCTACCTAATTATTCTTGTTCTGAGAAAGAGGCCTAACTGTTGAACACAAGCAATGTATCATTGAAAAAACTCCCAAGATTTCTGATTCTATGCAATGATCAAGTGACAGAGCCGAATGTACAGGTCATTTCGATGGCACACGGTGACCAAACCTTGGTAACTCATTTCTGATGCACAATTAAAATATATTGTAGCACTATGTTAATACATTAAATGTCAATTACTTTTACCTATATTAACAATTGCCTACCAATATTGACATGATTATCGTTTCTGGGTCTGATTTTTTTCATCATGGCAACAGAAATTGTTTGACACTAAATAAAGTTATGACTAAAAGTCTTATTTTTAAAGAGTTCCAACATATTCGGAGTTTGAACACAAAGCTTTCTCTTCAGAATTCAGCTGAGGAGAAGCATGGGTGAGTGCTAAATGCTCGGTTTAGGTGGTAGCACTTTTGTAGACTGGGGTCTGTTTTTAGCTCTGCTGGCCTTTCCTGGCTCACCTCAAGTGGGAAGGACAAAGGATTGGTGGGTTTAGTTCTCACAGGATAGTTTTCTTTCAGCCAAAGATTGAACTTTTCATTAAAATTTGTGAGTGAAGAAAATGAGCTTATACTTCAAGAGGTTTATATTTCTATTCCAAAGAAATCATCTTAGTTATGACTCTTAAAATACACAGAACGTAGGAAACAGGTTCCTTCCCAGTTTCGGTCTGGCCTGAGCTACACAGTAAGATCCTGTCTGGGCTGGGATGTGGCTCAGTGGTAGAGCCCTTGTTTAGCATGTACCGGGTGTCATTTTCCATCCCCAGAGTTACAAAACACAACCCCACACTGCTTCCATTGCTTAGATGTTTTACCGACATATAAAATACATCTCTCTTTACATTATGTGTTTTGAGGTGCAGCGGAACCATTCAGAGGAGCTGCTATTTCATCCCCGTAATGGGAGCTCAGGCTGAAAACCATTCCACCCGGTTTGAGATTTTGATTTCCAAGTGTATTTTCTGGGTTAACTCTTGGCCTTACAGAGGCTCAAGATATTTTCTTGTCTCTAGCAGCGCGTGATTCATGTCACCACTTGTGGCCACTTTAGTGTCTCTAACATGCATCTTGGCACAAAATTAGTTTTCTCTTTGCACATTCATGGAGGTTCTGAATGGAATCATCATCTATTAAGCTTGTATGCTCTTCTTTGGCAATCTTCTAGGGAAGACAGGATCAATTATTTACTGGTAAAGTAAGGAAATTCTTTGGCAATCTTCTAGGGAAGACAGGATCAATTATTTACTGGTAAAGTAAGGAAATTCTTTGGCAATCTTCTAGGGAAGACAGGATCAATTATTTACTGGTAAAGTAAGAAGGAAACCGGGATAAAAGCAACATGAGAGAACTCTAGTGAAGATCCCTGACCACACTGTCTTTCAATTTGCATTTTGCTTTCTTGAGCTTCTTAAAGTGTTGCAAAATAAAAAATAGTCAAACGACTTGTTTTTAAATACTGACATAACAACTCATGTTTTTTTCATTTTATTTACTTACTTTGTGGTACCGGGGACTGATCTCACCCAGAGCCTTGCCCAAACAAATTCAGACTTTTTACCTGAAACTCTTACCAGTGGAAAACCCTTGGAAGCAGGCTGAAACACTGTTCACTGAGAGTTCCTGTCTTTAGTAGCATAAGAAGGTGGAGTGTGGTAGCACACATCTCGAATCCCGGTACTCAGGAGGCTGAGGCAGGAGGATCACCGTGAGTTCAAGGCCAGTCTGGGTTACATAGTGAGATCGATCTCAAAGACAAAACAACGACACAACAAATGAACAAAACCTTTAATTATTTGTCTTCTCTGCATCAGGGAGTTAAAACAGATCCAACTAACTCTCCAGTTAGCGCCTTTCGTCTTGGACTTAACACACTTCCCACCTCCACTCCACATTCTTCTAGGAATGAAAGGCAGACTTTTTGAGTGTGCTGAAATTCCTTAACCCTAAGAGATTGCTTACAAAAAATTCCAACTGATGACTAGCTGGGTTTCTGTGTTCAGAAGGCCAGCTCTCTTCACTAACCAAAAAGTGAGGGCGGAGCCATTACTCACAGTTAAAGAAGCTAGTTCATTCTCGCCAAGCGGGGAAATGCAAACACTAATGAAAGCAGAATCTTACATGACTAAAATGAGTTTGAAAAAGTTTAATTTGAAGTAAGAATAATACAAAAATAAAAGAACAACTGCAGAGACACTAAGTTTGTGTCTGTTTCTTATATCTGTGGCCGTTTGTCAGGGAAGTGAGTCAAACATTGTACGCAGCTACATTTATTCTCGCAACATCTTACATTTCAATGTGTAGGCGTGGTCAACAGCAAAAGGCATCAAAGAGAAAACAAGATGTCCTTCCAGGAGGAAGTGGCCCACGTGGCTGCCTGGCAACGCGCTCACAGATGCAAGCAAAGATCTTTGCCTTGAAGTGCAAGCCTTCCCCACCCTGTGGTTCCAGGGATTAAACTCAGAGCCCTGCAAGGCACATCTTATGCAAGCTCTGCCACCGAGCCACACCCCCAGTATGCTGAAACAAGTCCAATTGCTTTCTTACTGGCTGTAAACACATCGGATGTTAGGTTAAACCCAGCCAACTAGAGAGCTTTTGGTTTGATTAATTGTGCCAATGTCAGGGAGGCATTTTTCCACGTGGTTTTTGAAATCTTGTGTTGCAGTGCTCATAGAGTGAGTGTGTGCTATACACGAAGGGAAGCTTTGGGGCTACGCGTGGCCCTGTTTTGAGTGGTTTGTTATGTGTCCTCCTTAAATACCTACTGTGGATTTAAAAAAAAAAAGCAGCAGCGCCAACAGTTGTATCACCAAGAATTTGTTTTAATGGAAATGGGTCTAATGTCCCTTCATGCAATAAGACAGACAGACAGACAAACCAAACAATGGTTCTAATTAGCTGTGGGTGAGCTTGAATCCAGGTGGAAACAAAGGGCACGTGGAGATACGCGTATCTCTCTGATGAAATCACACGCTTTATGAAGGATATAAAAATGAAGCACCACACAGTGCCTTAGTCTACAAAGGAAAGTCCTTAGCCACAGGCATGTTGGCTACCACGTTGATGCTGCCAAGGAACACAGGTAAGGTGGTAAGAGCACATCTACCTAGTTGCTTTTAAAAAATAAAAGGAACTTTAAGCATTTTGCCCTTGCTTCCACATAGTCCAATAGAAATGTGACTACAAATCATTACAAAACCACCATCGAGGTGATGTAGTTCACTGAGATTACTTAGTTCCGGGTACACTGACATTATACCCAGGAAAGAGAACACATTAACACAACAATGCAGTATATTTCAGTAAAAATAGAATAAATAAAATAAAAATATTTTAAGCTGTATTTAACAAGTTAATTAAAAAAATGATAAGACACCCAAGGCATATAGTGACCGCGGCTGCCTGTTTACCGAATCACAGATATAAAGAATGCATAGATAACCGAAGTGTCACTAAGATCTCAGGGAAAACATTGGCATCCTTTCACAGACAAATGCAAACATACTTTCATACATACTTTTTGGCCATGGCAGAAAGTTGTCTGAACATACTGTTTAACATAATTCATTTTACAAAATCAACCTGCAGTTAGTATGCAAAGCTATTCTCAAAACTAAAGAGCTGCAGTAAGAGTGTTTCATGGGTAAAGGCTATCATTCATCTTACTGCATCCTAAAATTGCATATATAAATCAGTTTGCTACTTAAAGCTAGCTCAGTACTCTTGATCCTGAAAAGCAAACAAATGCACGTCTTAAAAAACGGACAGGGTTTGGGTAGCGTCTTCCTACAGAAACATGGATTACTTTAGAGTTTCGAAGTGGAGTGCATTAAAACATTTCACCATGGAGCTCAAAATGAGAGACCATGAGAACGGGATTCTGAACAGTTTTTCTCTGGGCACAATAAGGTTTTCTGAACGCAGACATGTCTCAGGGGGCACCAGTCACTTCAGCTAGTGTGCGAGTTGGCACCAAGTGTTAATGCATTTTCTCAAGTAACATCACTATTATGGTAATGTGTGGGTGCTAGCAAACAGTCCAGGTCCTCTGCATCTGACTCTACGGGTTTTCTGAGGGACCCACAGGTGGAGGATACTCACTCACTGCATCACACTCGGTGGTGGCTAAGTGCCACACCTGGGAAGGTTCTACCCCAAGTAATGTAATTTCTAGAAAATCTCAGCATGGAACAGGGGGCTGAGGACAGACATTTGTCCTCTACAACATATTTGAGGAACACAGTCCTGGACTGAGAAAGGACAATGGTCTTAACAACAAATGCCACTGTGTAGATAAACTGGACATTTTCCTTAACACACATGGGAATTCTGAAATTGCCTGACAGTATTTTCAATATCTGTTGTTCTTTGTCTGGACCCAGAGTCATTTGTGAAGGGTCTTCCTGACTGTGTGGAGGAGGCATTTGTGAAGGGGCTTCCTGACTGTGTGGAGGAGGCATACTGTGGCAAAGCTGGGAGCTGTGGGTCCTAATTTTGGCTCTCAGGAACTTTGGTGAGACCCTCGGTCACTTAGCCTCTTAATACAGAACACTCTGCATTTTGATTTCTTCAATGAGTTCAGTACCTCTTCTACCTCGTAAGGCTCAAATGTGAAAAAACCGTTGAAAGCATTCCAACTGCTGCAAAGCAGGGTATAAACGTAAAGCATTACTTTTATAATGATATTAATTTTGACACTAAAAGTCAACAAGAATAATATTAAGATTGATCTCCTTTGCAACTTCTTTTTAAAATAATGTCAACAAGAGTCTAAATTGGTATATCTTTATAGTTAGGCTTCTTAGCTACATAAAAAGAGGCAAGAAAATGATATCTGGGGGACACTATCAAACAATCCATTATTTCTGTGTATATTTTGCTCAGAGAAGAAAAAAAACCTTTTGAAAGCAAAATGGAAAACTAGAAATTTTAAAACATACTTAGTCAAGTCTTACCAAATTTCTAACATTGAATACATAAATTCAAGAAAAGTACAACTTAAATTGTTGCCATGGACAAGATGATGGGTAGACAGCTTTCTGGACAAAAAGCACAGAGAAAGGTGGTAGCAGATTGGGAATTCTTGGAGGACATTTACCTCCAGAATGTGAACAAGAGTCAGACAGTGGTGATCTAAAATCATAGTGTGTGTGTGACAGAGATATAAATGACATTTCCTCAACTCTAAAGTGCATATTAGCTGGTTAACTAAGGATGGAAAGTGTAGGAACATTTCATTTTCAGGTGTGGGTAGAGAATGGCCATAGTATACTTGAATTCTCTAGCTGCACTGTACAATGTAAGGCAGAAGTTTGAAATATGTCCCATCCCAAATGCATGATGACTGTTAATCTCTTTTTTTTTAAATAACCAGTTTGAAAACCATCTGAAAAGAAAGGCTATTTTTTTTGCTTGATTTTAATTCCTCAAATTTAGTTTTCTATCAATTTTAAAGTTTTCCTTTGCCCAGCACCCCAAACAGCTGTAGACATGAAACAGTGTCCATGCATGAGAGAGCTCACTGAGGAAAATGGCTGGTTGATGTCTGTATTGATGCCAACAGCCAATTTTGTCAACCGACAGGTTCACTTTTATGAAAAACTAAAACCCAAATGCGTCACCTTATTTTTGAAAGCAATTCAATGGTATCTGTTACTCAGGGTCTGACTGTTTGAAAAGCCAAAAACAGGGCACAGTGCCGAGGGACCCCAAGGTTGCTTGTGGCAGTTCCAATCCAGAGGACTGAGAAATGAACTTGGGCATCGTTCACTCCAAGCACGCAGCGTTAGTTCTCTCGGAAGGGTGTGGCCACATTCTTCTGAGTGTGTGTGAAGTCCTGGTCACAATATTTACAATAAGGAAAAGACCTTCCACTCCTCCTGATGTAACTTAACAGAGAAACAAAACAAAACAAAAACTCATGCTTCTTTTCATATCACATGATGGCGGCAGGACGAGATCACATGCTTGTCGAACACTGTTTGGTTAAGGATAAATTCTCTGGAGACAAAGCATCAGCAACTGAATGGAAGGCCAGCCGTCAGCTTCTTTAGTGGAGATATTTGACTCTTTTTTTTCCAGGTAAAAGTGACAGAATCCTTCGGGCCCCGAGCTGCTAGGGTGTTTCTGTGACAGGACGTTTCTGTTTCAAAGTGTCAATGAGAGACAAGACCCCTCGTTTTACATTAGTTGTGACTCTTCTAGTCATGGAGTCCGAGGGCGGGGGTGGGGGTCGAACTTTCTGGGAAGGCGGCCTGGCTACCAAGCACTTCTGGTATCGCAACTGGAATAGAATAAGCAAGCAGCATTTTAGGTAATATCATTTCCTCTCGGTCATTGTGCTTGTGATTCACTACTAATACGCGGACTCTCAAAGGTTAATGGCCCGGCTTCTATAAATATAAATTTAGGAGCCACCACCACCACCACCACCACCACCAATAATACTATCAGCAGCAGCAGCAGCAGCAGCAATACTATTACCATCACTACTGCTACTACTTTTCGTCACCATGACAACCACCGCCACTACCCGCCCCCATACTCCCACCGTTACTATACTATCGTGTGGTAGGGAAGATGGATTCGGGTCCTTGTGTATGCAAGGCAAGCGCTCTGTCACTGAGCACATCTGCAGTCCAGATTCATTTCACTCTTGATGTGGGATGTTCTCAACTCCCACAGCTGTGGCTTTTCCCCACCCTTTCCTTTCCAGCCACTGCTCACAGCCAACAGCTAAGCAAACGGAAAGGATCAGCACACAGACAGCGTTAACCAAGTTTTCCATCAGACACGGACATCCAGGTAAGTGCTCGTGACGCGGCATGATAGGAAAGGCGCAGCCCGCACCCAGGCTCTATCGCTGTGAGCTCTAGGAACCCGGTTATTAGATTTCTTCAACCCTCGGTGTCTTTGACTATAAAATGGTTGAGAATAATAAGGCGAACTGTAGAAAGCCTCAAATAGGCCCGGCAACACATATTTGTTCCTGTCTCTGTTTCCTACTTTAACAGAAAATGTTGTACTGAGATTTCAGTATCTCTTTTATGGTCAAGTATAAACCCCAAGAGATTAAAAAAAAACAAACAAAAACAACCTGCCCTTAGCATTGGCAACATGGGCATAGGTATCCTTCAGAAATCTAACAACACAAGCCTGCCTTTTGATGCCAGAAACCAGAGTAAGAAAGAACGAACTCTCCAATGTTGTCAACTGACTTCTACATGTGGCCCCTGGGCACTAGCGCCCCTCTTTCTCAGGCACACCATATACACACATACACTCATAATAACCTTTTTTTTTGAGACAAGGTTTCTCTGTGGAACAACCGTGGCTATCCTGGGCTTTGTAGACCAGGCTGGCCTCGAACTCACAGAGATCTGCCTGCTTCTGCCTCCCAAGTGCTGGGATTAAAAGCGTGCACCACCACCACCTGGCAATAAAAACTTTTTAAAGGGAGAAATACATCAACACGGCCCACTTGCTTTTGTCCTCGTAGGAAGCTAAGTAGTTCTTCAATGTTAGCTGGGAAGATGAGGCTTATCATTCTGAAAATGAGGCTTTATCATTCCAAAAGTCAAGTTAAATGTCCACAGACTCCTCAGCATAGTTACAGCTGATTCTCCCTCAAACACACGGAAACACCCACCAAAAGATGGGACAGGGGGTGTTTAGAATGTTCTCTCATATCCTACAGGCCAGAAAACTGGTCCCTTCAACTCAATACATACAAAAGGATGGCTTACCAATGTCTGCTCTGTGGAGAACATCTTGCTAGGTCTGTGTCACCAATTACACACCCCTAAAGCATCAATTTATCAGGAGGCAAATGTGGCAGCATTCAACTCTGGACTTGAAATCTCAAATAGTAGCTTGTATGTATATCGTGAATCAAAACTGTGCATAACTAATGAAATTCATAAATGAAGAATCCCCTCGGACCTATTTTAAATTTCACTAACGTGTCTTCACTTAGGCCTATACAGCACAGCTGCAAAACGGGCCTTAAAAAGGAATTCAAAAGAGTGTGTCACTGCCATATCTCCGATGGAGAATGGCCTGAATTGAAGGAAGCAGGGTACCACTGCATTGGGGAGAGCCGGCTTCAGAGTGTGGTGGGGAGCTTGGATTGTACCCACATGCCTCTACCACACTGCCTGAGCTAATCCAGCTGGTTGCATCAATAAAAATTTTATTAAAAAAAAAAAGTGTTTTCAAGTGGAAAAAATGAGTCTGGGAATCTGGAAAAACAAAACTGTAGCCACTGATAAAACTAATTAGCTAACTGTCATTAGCATTTAAAATGTATAATTAAGAACGAAAGCCATTCATTTTAGACCCAAACCATCTGTTAGGCTCCATTTCCATTTTGCAAAATATCTAGTTTTTTTGCTTGACTGAAATCACACTTGTTTATCTCCCACAGCCCCTTCCTCCCTCTAGAGGCTCTACACCTGGTTCCCAGGGTCACCTCATCCTGCACTCCCCTGCTCCTCTCCTTGACATCCAGGCTTGTGAGCCTGGATGCGCAGCACTTGACAAAACGCCCATCCCACTGAGGACCAGTGAGTGGGAACCAGATGGAGTGTGGATCCCAGGTCTCCCTCTTCCTCCCTCCCCTCCCCAATCAACAGTGTCTGAAAGATTAAAAAAAAGTGTGTGTGTGTGTGCGCGTGTGTGCGCGTGTATCATGTGCTACAGGACACATGTGGAAGCCAGAGGACAACCTGTAGGAGTTGGTCTTTTCTCATATGGGCTCCAGGGCTCAAAATCCAGGTTTGGTGGCAAGTGTCTTTATCTCCTGGCCATTTCATTGGCCTCAACAGGGATCCATAACCAATTTGTTCTTTTCCTATTCCGTTGTCTAAATAGTTATCAATGTCCTTCACCCTGGGAAGGCAACTATACCTAAGGCAGAAATTTAGGAAAAGCCTCCGGCATGAACAAAATGTACAAAAGCACACCAGATGTCATTTTTCTGTGTCCAGATTCAGAACTCATTTTGGGGACCACACAACAACGGGCTTTGGTGTGATTTATGATTCCTGGGACTGTGCCGAGAAAAATGAGGCCCTGCAGCCTTGCAAGACATGGCCTGTATGAGAAGAAAAAGATGCCAAGAAAACAGCAAAAGGAGCTGGCGATGAGTGTGGACGGGGCTGGCGAAGGCGAGGGGGGGGGTGGGGAAGGGTCTGCGGGGACGGATCTGCAGGGTGCTGCAAACCTTTACAGAGAGGACTGGAAACTGCAAAAATGTAAACAAACCAACCCACAAATGTGCCGTAGGCAATAGGTAATTTCCAACGCTACTATACTTTCACGAAACCCTTGTCTTCTGTGTGGGCCGTCATTCACACAAATGCCATTACGAGGCACGCGAGAGATGTGGATTCTTTAGCACAAGAAAGCGTGCAGATTGCCTCCATCACAGACTAACAAAGCTCACAGACCAGCCACTGTTGTCCCTTAGACAGACTTTCTTAGCCCCCACCTTCAGAGCCCTTCTCTGCCCAATTCCTTCTCAATCTCATGCAGTCTCGTTCCATCAGAGCTCTCTCCACACACCGTGGGACTTTGTATTTTGTGCCTCTCCCATGATACCTGAGCTCCCTGACTCACGGGTCATACCTGGGGCTCTCTGGGGTCTGTGCAGCCCATGGACACAGCAGAGGGGAGTCCTCCATGCCCTCTTAAGGAAGTGCTCCATCTCATCACTCAGAGATCACCACCTCAGTAGCCCCCTTCTGACTGCCTCCTGCTGAGGACCCCCCTTGTCTTTCTTGTCTACACTAGCTGATGAGCCCCCGGGGGTCAATCGCTACACCTCAAGCTGTACTTTAAAGCCGTCCTCACGAGGAAAGACCTCCAGAAAGATGGACTGTCTTCCTTTTGAATGGCATAATATTTTAAAACCCAAGTATGAGCTGGAAGTGGTGGCACACGCTTATAGTCCCACTGCTTGGAAGGCTGAGGCATCGGATTGCTGAGAGTTTGAAGCCAGTCCAGGCTACACAAGGAGTTCCAGGCCAGCCTTGGCTACTGTGAGACCTTATCCCAAAACACCAAAACCAACCCCCAAAAGCTCCAGAAGCTAGAGATGACCAATTCCTACTTGGTAATTGCTGGAGAGAGTCAGACTTCTCCAGTCTTCCCTGACAGGGGTCCTGTTTCTTCCAGCAGTTCCAGGGACTCAAACTCCTATCACTAGACTGTGCCCTGGACCTCAGGCTCTGACCAGAAGCTTTTTCAGTGTGTGCACATAAGCTCAATGAAGAGATGTTTTTGTCTCAAATTAGACACGATGTGAAGTGCCCTGGCCTTGTGACCCAGAAGCATGGGGCTGACCCTAGTTTGTTATTTACTGATCTCTCTCTCCCTCCCTCCCCTCCCCACCTCTCTCTCTTTCTCTCTCTCTTAATTTTTTGAGATAGAGTTTCTCTTTGTAACAGTCCTGGCTGTCCGGGAACTCACTCTGTAGACCAGGCTGGCCTTGAACTCACAGAGATCTGCCTGCCTCTGCCTCCCGAGTGCTGGGATTAAAGGTGTGTGCCTCTGGTCTCTTATAAATAAAACAAAATCAGCTACTGGTTGGGGTTGTTGTGAGGATTAAGAGATAAATAATAAATAAAATAGATAATAACAATGTGTTGAAAACAACCATGGGCAAAAGAATCACTTGTTAGCTTTTTTTAAATACCAAGTCGAAGGCAGATTTTGATAACTCACACACAACTAGCATTTCTTGATCACATACTGAAATTGTTAATTTGGAGTCCAGAATAGATGATCCTTAAGTCTTACCGATTCTCTACAGAGCCCTGCCTCCTGAGATGTGCTCTGCCGGTCATAATGGATTCGGCCCACCCAAATGAGAGTACTATACAGTACAGGGCTTTAGGAGTCAGATTTTACCTGTTTAAATAAGGATTTACACTCTAATCTACAGCATCTAGAACAGGCAGGATAGGGAGAGTTGAGTACCAGGGCTCACTCACCATGCAGGCAGCCTGGACGGCTTCTGACACATTGGCAGCATTCGGCTCACACCAAAACACGTGGCACTCAAAGCGTTGGTTCCCAGTGTCCATGATGAAGGCGAATGTATGCACATCCTTCCCGACGCCCATGAAGGACAGAAACCGCACTCGGCACTCCACCAAGACTTCCTCTTCGTTCTGCAAGAGACACATTCAACGCCTGTGCTCTCCGGGACGCCAGACAGCCATCAGCAAAGACTTCACACCTTAAATACCTCAGGGAGTCCAGCTTCCAGAGCCAAGTAGGATTCGAATCTTACTAAAAAGTCAAAACTTGGTCAAGTGGCCAGAGAGGCCATCACCGCCGTGGGGGCCTCCTGGTATCCGATCTCACAGTGAATGACATTATGTTGAGAATGGCATGTGTGTCCCATTCTCTAGCCACCACAGCCCACATCCGCTCTTCACTGGGAGGAACAACGTCATACACACTTCTCTAGACTGCCCAGCACAGGACACCCAGTGGCTCAAGACCCCTTTGTCTGTGTGTGAACCTCGAGGGTCCAGGAGAAAAAGATTCCTAAGTCTCTCTCCATCGGTTTTCACTCAAGCACCAAATCACGAAACAGCGTGGAAGACAAATGCTGCTTCACCAACACATTCGTTGATCAAATCACCCCCCTCGTACTTCTCCACGCACAAGGCAGTGGGGGATTCATTTCGCAGCAGCAACCACAGGCAATTTGTGAGTTAGTAAACACAGCTAGAATGCCAGCTTTCCAATCGGAACATCCTGGCTTGTTAAATATGCATTCAGGAATGAGGCACATCTCACAGGCAGACTACCCTGGGCACAGAGGTCAGGAAGTCTGGGGAAGAAACGCTGGAGTTGGGATTTGGGAGAGAGGTTATGGAATGGGGGTGGGGAGTGGGGTGGGGTGTGGGGGATGGGGGGGATGACACTGACGGGCTGACAGACTGCGTGGAGGGAGCTGCACCAGCCAGAATACTGCAGTGGGCGAGGGCAGCATGCTTTAGGGGTGACTGAAATCCAGCATGAGCAGAGAGGCAGGCAGGCTGGGGAGGATTCTTCCCACTGATGGGGGTGACCTGCAGGTGGCAGAAGCTGGGACATGCTGCTTCCCACATCTTTGCAAAGTGAGCTGGACTTGACAGCCTGGCTTTAGAGCCCAGTCCTGGGCTTCTGGAAGTTCTATATCATTGGGCTTCCCTAACATAAGCAACGCTTGCACCCATCAGACAGCATGGCCCAGTCTACCTCAGAGCCCTAGTAACAAAACCAAAATCCACAGTAAGCTATGGCTAGTGCCACCACATGATCACCTCGAACAATTTTAATCCCTCGAGCAAGTGAGGAAGGCAGAATCAGGGCACCAGGATAGAAGTTTCCAGATCCTGAGGAAGGCACAATTAAACTCAGACAAAGCCCCCCAATCGTCTATAGATGGAGGCCATTTTAATCACAAGTCAGTACAGCTTCCAAGAGGTCAAGCCTTAACTCCATGTCCAGATCTTAGGAAAGACCACTGTATTCAAAAGCTCCCTGTTAGCCCAGGCAAGCCAACTCCAACTCCTCACCTTCTCACTGATGACGGTCACAGTGGCATCCGCCACGTTCATGTTCACCGAAGGCCAATCCTCCTTGCTGGATGAGGTCATAAGACTTTCTATGGCACTGTTCAGGGTGTCCATGCCTACGGATAGAAAAGACAATTAAAAATGCCCTCTCTAATGCAGGCCCAGGCACTCAGGAACAGCCATACCCAGGTTGACCATTGCAGGTTCCCGGAGTCAGGGCATCTTATCATTTTATCCTCAAGTTTGCTGAGAAGAAAAAAGCCAGTTTTTCCAAGAGAGAGTCATGAACACCTCCAGGGATCCGGTGTATGTGCGTGTGTGCATACCTGCGTGCATGCATGGTTGTGTTTGTGTTTGTGCATGTGTGTGTGTGTTTGTGCATGTGTGTGTGTGTGTGTGTGTGTGTGTGTGTGTGTGTGTCCTGTCTATGAGACTATGACACTCCAACCTCAAATCTGCTCCAAAGATCCCCCCACTTCAAGGGCGTTGCCTTTGAGAGCCCGGGGAAGGAGACCCCACAGAAACCAGTATCTACCAGAGTGCCAAACCCTCCTCCATCACACGTGACATTTAGTCAGCCAGAGTTGATTCTTAGGGGTCACTCTCTATGTTCCTTACAGCCTAGCCTCAAATCAACTCCTTACTTGCTGTCTAGTTCTAGGGACTTGCCTATTATTAGCATTCATGTTAAGAATCCCACATGGAGGAGATTTTTTTGGGGGGAGGGGTGACTTCTTTCATTTGTCTCAATGTTTCAAGGGTCACACATGCTGTGGCATGTTTCAGCACTTTTCTTTCTTGCTGGATAAAATTCCATTATCTGAAAGTATTTTATTTATCCATTTAGTCAGGCATTGGGAGTCTTTACTTTTTAAAACTGTCATGAACAAATGCTACTATGAAGTTGTGTAGTTTTGGGGGGACAGTGCCTCTGCTTCTCTCGGGTGTGTGAACAGGGACAGAGCTTCTGGGCCAAACAACCGTTCCGATCTTTAACCCTCTGAGGAACTGCCCAACTGCTACCCAGAGAGCATTTGACTTTTATCCCCAGCAGAGCACAGGGCTCTGATTTCTCCACAGCCTCTTCCAGTCAGGAAGTTGCTACAGCTCCCAGCCTCTCTGTAAGCTTGGGAAAGCAAAGCCCCTCAGTTCCTGACACAGGGGGAGGACCCAAACACTGGAGATACCACTTGTGGGTCATAGTGTAAAGATATGGGGGCTCCATCAGTCTTCCCTTCCTGTCCCCAGTGGGTAAGAACAGAGGCAGGAGCCTGGCCTCAAAGCTAGAAGCCAGAGACCTCTGCAGTCCTGGGTTGCTCTTCTCTGGAATGCTGGGAAAACCGGAAAACCACACCTGTCCCTTTAGAGTCTCTGCATGCTGGGATCACACATCAAGTCAAGGTCAGCTTGCCCTCTATTACCCACGTGATCAGGATGATTATCTGTCCAGGCTGGTGTCACCACACAGGTGTGATTCAAAGTCAGATGAGGAGTGGTACAGAGGCCCTCACCCTCATGGGAGAGCCAATGACTCTTGTTAAGCTTTGGAAGTCTTGCAAAGTTTACCTACCGACAGGTCTGTCTACAGGTAACATGCCCAGGTACTGCACGTGGAATTTCTGCACCAGCTCTGTCTTTGGTGTTGGAAAATCTACTACAAGAAAAAAAAAAAAGCAGTGTGTTTCTCAGTAGTTCTAGGAGACAGAGAAAAACCAGTTGTCCATCTGGCATCTGCACGCCCAGGTGGCCACCCATTCCAGAACGTCCTGTTCCCAGACATTCTATAAGGACAGCATTTCTCGACTCTAGACGTAGGGGCTTGGTCAGTCTAACCCCTCCTGATCTCTCTTTCAAGGTGAAACGCTTTGGAAGGCAAAAACCAGATAAGTCCTTCGTGTGCTAAGAAACAGCTTTTCATGCCCTAGTTGTTAGGTGTGGCTGGTGCCCGAAGAAAGTTTAATCAAAGAGTCAATATGATCAAAGGCACAGGAGAAATAACGTAGTCTCCCCAACTAACAAGCTATATACCTTTAAACTAGGGAGTCCTTACCCCAGGGTTATACATGAGATTAAAAAACAAAACAAGGGGGCTGGAGAGATAGGTCAGTGATTAAGAGCACTGGCTGCTCTTCCAGAGGACCTGAGTTCACTTCCCAGCAACCACATGGTGGCTCACAACCATCTGTAATGAGATCTGGCGCCCTCTTCTGGCCTGCAGGCATACATGCAGACAGAACACTCTATACATGGTAAATAAATAAATCTTTAAAACAAAACAAAACAACTCTGCTGGCAATATTCTTTAATTCGTTCAACAGAAACAAAAAACAACTGCCCTTTGTATTCAATGCTATGGACAAAAGCAACTCTGTCCTTTGTAGGGCCTGGAGCACATGCTCCTCTCCTGCTCCACCACCCAGGCAAGGTCTCATCATGCAGCACCCAGGCTGGCTCATGGTCCTACTGCTTCTACATCCCGAATTCTAGAGACTGGATTCTAGGTTGGGGGCCACCACGCCCAATTTTAAGGCCTATTTTTATTTTATATGTATGAAATGTTTTGCTAGTTTGCATATATGTGTGTGGCACATACATGCAGTGACGGTAGAAGCCAGAAGAGAACAATGAATGCCCTAGAAACGGAGTTACACATGGTGGTGAGCAGCCCTGGGGGTACTGGGAATCGAACCTGGGTATTTCTGTAATAAGAGTAGCTGGTGCCATCTCTCCAGCCCTTGAGTGTGCTTTTAAAGGAGCCCTGAAACACCAGCAAACCCCTGGAACCCTTCAGTCTTGCCTCTGGCTAGAGCCTCGGAGGAGGAGCCGGAGGAGGAGCCGCTGCAGACGTACCTTGCAGAGGGACATCGAGACTCATGTTGGTCCTCTCCTGTAGGGAGCTGCAGGCCAAGGCTTTGGCATTCTTCCGTTCAGCCATAATCTAGACGTCAAATCAAAGTGCAGCGTGGGTTCACAGTTACAGACCCCAACGTCACCAGCCAGCCCTGCCAGTCAAGTGTCTGAGCTGATTCTGCTGGGATTTAAACTAGCGTTCATCTTCTGCCTTTCTTACCCCGTCAGTCTCCCTGAATTATGTGTGATTTCACTTTTCCCTGCTGGGGATGACGGGTGAACACTTCCTCAGGGTAACAGTTCTCTCAAGGGCTTGGAAGTTACTTCTTCCAGCTCCTGGTTCTCACCTCTGTAGAACAATCCAGCATGCACACTCTGGGGACACCTGGACCTTCCACCCACTGTGCTCAGGAGCTGCCCCATGTCAACTCTTAGATACTCCAGGGCTCTGGGGACAGAGTGCATGGTTCCTATCCCTTACGAGCTGTGGTCTTGGATGAGGAGGCTGCCCTTCCCTGTCTCATCGCCTTCACTGAATACAGACAGGAGTATGTATGTCATGGCGCAATTGTGTGGAATAAACGGGTATCAAAGGAGTTCAGAGGGCTGAGGAATGGCAGCTGCCATCATGGCTATTCTCTGAGTCTTCTAATGGTCACTGTGTGCGGGCATCACACTGCACGTTCTTGTTCCCTGCCGGTGAGCTACACAGTGGTGTAAGCCCAGTCACGGTGGCCCTGGAAGTAATTCACACTTTCAGTCCCAGCCCAAGATGCTCATCGCAAGGTGATGAACGTCATCTCTCTAGGTGTACGCAACTGAGCAGTGACTTGACATTCACAGGAGGATAAGCATAGGTTACACGCAAATACTCCGCCATCTTGTGAGGGACCCACATCCGAGATGTGAGTGGGTAACCCCGATGGGACTGTTATCGATATGCTCTGGATGTCGAAGGTCCACGGCACATTAATGATACGGGCGGAACACCACCCTGCCTGCTTCCTCCCGAGTTTGATTCCACAGGCAGCTCTCCTGCCCTCCTGCTCGCCTGTCTGCTCAGGCAGTGAGAGGAAACAGGGAGACCAGACCCTGCGCCCCGACCCACCTTACCTTGGAACAGATTTCGTGGAGACTTGTGGCAATGGCTTTTGCTGGTGTGTCACATCGAAACACGTGACATTTCAGAAGCCTCGTGTCCTTGTCTCTTGCGACATAAGCAAAATCCCTGTGCAAAGGAAATTTACCAGGCTATTAGGCAAAGGAGCCTTCCGCCCACATGTGCTCTAGTTATGACTATTAACTGAGCTCACAGCCAGCATGTCAGTGGTGAACTGTGGATGCAGATTAAAAACAAAAAAACAAAACATTAACAGCTACAGGCAGCAGAAGCAGGGTTCACGGCTGTTAGGGGCCTGTTGCTACGCAACACAGGAGTGTCTTCTAAACCTCGCTCCTGAACTTAGGGATGGGGAACACCGAGTGAACACTGAATTCGGCAGAAAGCGTCTGCCTAGAGCAGAAACAAATAAGACAATGAGACGATGAACATGGGATTGGGGAGAATACAAATTGCAGAACGATCTAATGGCAGACAGCAGAAGAGGAACAATGGGCTGTGATGCGTGGACCTGTGCACCGAGGATGGGCCAGCCCCACAGTTGCCTGGGAAAGTTGATGGGCAACCAGAGAACACTGGAACGCACATATCCTGTGGACTGGACTATTACCAAAGGCATGTGACTCTGCTAAAACACCCGCACTGTGGCTCTGGGGGCAATGCTGGTCTCCTATGTTATACTGCTGTTAGCAAGCGGCCTAAGTGATTGTTCTGTGTTACCGATACCCATGATGACATTACTTGGCTTCAGAACAACCATACCACACAATTAAGTTTCTTGCTACTATTAATAGAGATAGTGGTTCTCCAAAGAGGAAGTAAAAGGACTCACTGTGTAGCCGTGGCTGGCCTGGAATGCCAATCTTCTTGCCTAACCTCTCAAGTGCTAAAACCATAGCATGAACTACCCCGCACAGCAACTGAATTTATTTTTATATTACTTGTCTTCCTATGTAGTATCTATTTTTTTAATTCTATGTATGTGTATGGGGATGCACATGTGTGTGTGCAGGTGCCCCCTGAGGCCAGAGGCATCCGATCTCCCTGCAGCTGGAGATGCGGCTGGAGTTGTGAGGTGGGTGCTGGGAACCAAACTCAGGTCCTCTACAAGAGCAGTACACACTCTTAACTGCTGGGCCACCTTCCCCAGCCCTTATCTGTGGACTTTTGAGAGATGGTCTCACAATGTGACTCAGGTTAATCACAAAATTACATCAATTCTCTTGCCCCCACCTCCCCAAGTGCTGGAATGAGGTGTGAGCTACCACGCAAGTTAAATTACTTCTTTTAATCCAGGAGCTGGCAGAATTTCACAGAGGACCACATGAAGGGCTAGCCAGAGGTGTGGTGCTGGGATGGGGGAAAGTTGGTGATCTCAAAGGATTGGCAAGAGAAACCCACCTCCTTGCCTACGTGCCCTGGGAAGCCCTGGAGTTGGTCCCAAACATGGTCTCCAGGCTAGGGCATCCCTGTCTGCTACCTCACGGGTTCTACCCTCAGCCTGCCCTCACCTGCCCTCAGTATCTGCCCTAACTGCCTCCTGCTCCTTCATTGACTGTGTCAGTTGGTATCTTCCATGCTGGAATCAAATGTCCCCTAGCCCGCCGGCCACAGCCCTGTACCCGATCCCAAGGTTTTGGCCTATCTCACCACCTGGACATCTCCTGAATCCCTTGCTCCCCTTCTAGCCTGAGCAGTGCTCAGTGTTCTAGCATGTTTTCACGCTTGCCTTTGCTTCTTGCCTCTATTCCATTGCCACTGTTGGGCTCAGGTTCCCTGTATACACCATACTCTCCGGTGGGCATCCTGGAAGTCCACGAAGCTCCAGGAAGATGATTTATATTTATTCCCAATGTCTATCTTGGGCCACAACAGGAATTAGTAATATCTGTGGATCGAAGCACAAGCTGGCTCCACATGTCCCTAGGGCCTATAAGGAATAGTGGCATCACACCCGGAGGCGTGAATGAATACCATGGCACCGAATGAAGAGTTAGGTTTGGGGGCGGGGCAGACTTTGAGAGGTGAGCATAGTCTTTCTCCACACTGTGATCCCAAGGCCTTCCCATCCCCGTCTCAAGTGCCACCAAGGAAACACATGACCTAAAAAAAGTAACAGTTCACTTCTGGAGACCGCTCAAGGGAAGCCTCGTTCTTGGCTTCTTCCCCAAGCTCCCCTCGTTCTCCAGATGGTGCAGATAGTAAGGCACAGAGTCTTACAACTCTTCCCCTTCAAACTCCCAGGTCTGGCTGCTGTGTTTCTGAGGTCAAATCTCTCCAGATTCCCATGGGTCACTCACAGAAAGTGCAAACCCCCTTGTCTGGATTTTAAGGGTTGTAAAATGTCTGTAACATCTTCTAAGCATCATTCCCTCTATCAAGGTCCCCCCTCTCTTTACTCAAGAAGAGGGTCTTCACAACTGCGTGTTGTGGTATCTTCCCTCATTTGGTAACCATCCACCATACCCCCTGCACTGTCCAGAGCTCACTCACCTATCCAGCACAGCCCACCCGAGATCTGCCTGCCTTCTGGCCCACACACAAGGCCTTGCTTGTTTAAAAGGTGTCAGCATGCAAATTCTGCTTGCTGAAATTTCTCTCTTGTAGAAATATACAGTTCCTCTTCATATCTGTCCTTTCTAAGGGACAGGAAGGAACAGAGAGAAGGGTACTGGGTTCAGGCAAAGCAGCTTAAGTACATTCCTGGTTCTACTTAGCTAATAGCCCTAACTCCAAAATCCTCAAGCCAAAACTTTCTGGGTGCTGACAGGGCACAAGTAGAAAATTTCATACCATGAAACTTTTTCTTCTACTTTTAATAAAATTATCAAAATGGTGTTAAGATTGCCTATGACTTGGGCTGGAGAGATGGCTCAGCTGTTAAAGGCTAGGCTCACAACCAAAAATATAAGATTGCCTATGACTTGAGTGAACAAGAAATAATTGTCACATTGAGTTGTGGGCCTCATCTCATCATGTAGATGCAAACATTCCAAATGCAGAAATCCTCCCGGCCCTAAGCATCTTGGAGAAGAATATTGGACCTGAGGGACCCCAGGCCTGGATATTATCCCCATCTTTATGTGTGGAGACATTTACTTCCATGTTGCTTTGCTTCTGATGGAAGCTTCCAAGACCCAGCCTCCTCTCCCTGCCTGATGGATGGTTAGCAGGAAGCACACATTCCCAAGCCTCCTGGCAGAGAGGATGGGGCACATCTGGACTGCGAACCACTGGATCTGTCCCACCAAGCACCGGCTTTGTGCTGTCCTTTCTTCCATGTGCAACCTCACAGGCATCATTTTAAAAAGTCATTGTTATTAATCTTCGTTTTCTTTTGGCTCAGGGGAAGGTGATGAATGCCTCAGGGCAACTGTCTGGAACCTACATCTTCCCAAAGGAGAAAATGTGCAGCCTTGGGCTTTGAGGGGGGGGGGGGGGGCTTTTCACAAATTTTGAGCAGCCTCTCTCTAGTTCTTCTTAGGTAGGTAACAGATAGGCAGACATCTGAAAAGTGACAGCAGCGTGTGAGACCCTTCACTGACCCTTAGAAGGCTTCATCGGCCTCCCCAGCGCCTCTTTCTGTAGAGTTAAGAGGGCTGCGTGTCTCTAACTTTATTCCATGACATATTTCAAATGACCCTAAGATAGCTGCTAGTCCCCGGCATGGAGGTCCGCACAGGCCTCAGCACGGACAAGCATCTCATCCGTCACGGACAAGCAGCTCATCGGTAGGCAGTAAAGTCCAAACACCTCCTCACTGGCTGTGCTAGAAGCTGTGTTTTCAGCATGCCCCTTCTGGAAAAGGCTGCTGCAGCAGAACAGTAATGGCTTCCCTTGTTCCCCGAAGACGTTCTTGTCCTAATTCATGGACTCTGTGAAAAGTGTCTTTGCAGATGGCCCAACTTAAGGATCAGAGATGGGGCTGTTTCTCTGGATTGTCTGACTGGCTCAGGGAACTTCTGCGGGAAAAGATGCAATGCCTGCCTCAGAAATGAAAGGACGGGAGCAGGGCCGTGAGCGAAGGGCACAGGTAAGGGCAGGCATGTGGGCTCTTCTGAAATTTCTACAAGAAACACAGCCGTGTTGTCTTTGAAAGCCTCGCTGTAGACCTCTGACATCCAAGAGAGTATACCTGTTGCTTTAGGCTGCTTAAGCTCGTGGTCATTTGTTATAGTAGCAACAGGAAGCTATACAGCTGCCCTAGGACTTGCCCCAAATTGTAGGATGGCATTCAGATTTATATTTTTTGGAATAGCCAATCCACTCCCACAGGTTCTTCCTGCACCGCTGCCATGGCGCATCAAAGATGCAAACACAGACAGACAAGGTGCCAGCTGGGAGGCCCGCTGGCAGATCTCACACTGGGCAGAGGTATGTGAGCTGCTCCTTAGAGCCTCTCCAGGGTAAAGGAGGAGAAGGAGGCTCAACTGACCTCCAAGACTAAAGGTGAGTGAGTACCCAGGAGCCTGGAAGAGCCCCGGGTTAGCCTCTGCATACCGCAGGGGCCATAGTGGTGGCGTGGCTATCCAGATGCTGTCCCAGGACTCTACGATCCCTCTGCACAGCACCGGCCCCGCTGTGTGTCTAGCCTTGACTCGGAGGCATCCAAGTCTTGCATTCTTACATGGGTCTCGCCACATGTGGCATGCGCTTCAAAGACTTTGTTCTGAGGGTGGGCACTGAGGTGTTCTAAGGGCAATGGTGGGGAGGCCCAACATAGATACCTGGTCCTTGAGGTCTATGAGGGAGACAGAGACTGGAGAAGGAGCTGAAGTCAGAAGCCGAGTGTGGAGAATGCAGAAACAAAACAAGGCAGTCAAGGGAGTCGAGGAAAGGCGTATAACGCTCGAGGCAGGAGCCTCGAAAGGGAAGGCGAGGAAAGAGTGTTAAAGGGAGGCCCAAGGGGAGGCTGGGAGAAGTTCCCAGGCCTGAGTGACTGCGCAGTAGGAAACAAACTAGATTGTCTGGGTGAAGAGGAGGCTGGCAGGGACCTTGGCCTCCTGGACCCTGAACTAGAGAAGGGAATTTGAGATCCTGGTTAAAACAAAAATTGATCCCTTACTTAAAAAAAAAAATCGCTTCTCTCTTTGGGACTTATCAGTTAC